GCTGGCAGTCAGCACAGAGCCCGACGCGGGGCTCGAACCCACGAACCGTGAGATCATGACCTAAGCGAAAGTCGGACGCTTAACCAACTAAGCCACCCAGGCGCCCCCCTCCCCCTTTTAAGTGTATTTTGAGAGAGAATACCAAGCAGGCTCTGCACTGTCAGCACAGAGCCCCACAGTGGGCTCAGACTCATGAACCATGAGGTCATGATGGGCGGAAATTGAGTGGGAGGTTTAACAGATGGGACCCCCAACCCATGGCTCCCCGATCCCCCTTTTTTTTTTAAGTGCGTCTGCCGGACGTGGGGCTTGAACTCAACAACCCCGAGATCAACAGTAGTGTGTTCCATTGACTGGAAGGGAATGGAACCTCTCCAGCAGGTGGAATGCACCCAGCAAATAAAAACTTCCTTCCCCTGATGACTGTTGAAGTAAAGGAAATCCTATTCTATTTTTTTAAATTTTATTATTATTATTATTTTAATCATTGAGAGACAGAGCATCATCATGGGAGAGGCAGAGAGAGGGGGAGACACAGAATCCGAAGCAGGTTCCAGGCCCTGAGCTGTCAGCACAGAGCCTGATGTGGGGCTCAAACTCACAAACCTTGATATCATGACCTGAGCCGAAGTCAAATGCTCAACTGAGCCACCCAGGCGCCCCTCTATTTTTTTTTTTTAATGTTTATTTTATTAGAGAGAGAGAGACAGCGCGAATAGGGGAAGGGGCAGTGAGACAGGGAGACACAGGATCCAAAGCAGGATCCAGGCTCTAGTCTCTGAGCTCTCAATGCAGAGCCCAACACGGGGCTCGAACCCACAAACATTGAGATCATGACCTGATCTGCCCAGGTGCCCCAAAGGAAACCTTTTCTAGATGAGAGATTTTGTTTCCAGGGTGCTTGTTGTCTAAATCCTTGTATTTAATTGCTCAAGTGTGTGTTTTTTAAAAAATTTTTTGTATAGTTTATTTATTTGAGAGACAGCATGAGTGGGGGAGGGTCAGAGAGAGAGGGAGATACAGAATCTGAAGCAGGCTCCAGGCTCTGAGCTAGCTGTCAGCACAGAGCCCAAGGCGGGTCTCGAACCCATGAACTGTGAGATCATGACCTGAGCCAAAGTTGGACGCTTAACTGACTGAGCCACCCAGGCGCCCTGCTCAAGTGTGTTTCATTTGTTCACCAAGTATTGATGGAGTCCTGCCAGGGACTGTTCTCCACACGAGGGATAGAGAAGTGATCAGACCAAAGTGCCTGTTCTCATGCACTTGCTTCAATCCTGGATGGGGGGAAGATGATATTAGAAAAGTGAAAGTGAATAAATAAGCAAGATTGCCCTTTAGAATACAAAGTTCCGTAGAGAGGGGCGCCTGGGTGACTCCGTCCGTTAAACTTCTGCCCGTTGATTTCTTGCATCAGGCTCTGCTGACAGCGAGGAGCCTGCTTAGGATTCTCTACCCCCACCGCCCCCCCCCCCCCAAGCACTCATGAACTCTTTCTCTTAAATAAGCTTCAAAAAAATTTTTCTTTTGAGTTCTGTAGAGAAGAATTAAAAGTATGTGGTTGAGGATGACTAGGCAGGGTTAAGAATGGGGTGGGGGCGTCTCTTTAGCTCCTGTTGTTGGGGAGGCCTTTCCACAGAGGAAGCACTTAAGCTAAGACCTGAAGAGCAAGAAACTGGTCATGTGATGATCTGGAGGGAGCTGGTAAGTCAGAGGCCCTACGGCAAGAGCAGGTTTGGTTGAGAGGCCAAGGTGGCTGGTGAGTAGCAAGCAAGGGAAGGGCTGCGGTAGCCAGATCCCGAAGGGCCTTTTAGACCTTGGTGACAATAGAGAATTTGATTCTAAGTGGAGTGGAAGGGAGAGCGGAGATGCTGTCACATGTGCATTTTTCAAGATCCACCCGGCAGTTCTATCCAGAGTGTAGACTACAAGGGATAAAAGCAAGACGTGGAGACAAGATAAGAGGATTTTGCAGGAGCCCAGGTGAAAGGATGGTGGCTAGCACCAGAGTTGTGGCCATGGCGACAGAAGTGGATGGCTTCTGACACTTTCGGAGGTGGCGCCGCCGGGACTTTGCATGGACTGGGCATTGGACGTGAGAACTTGAGGGCAACTCCCAAATTTGTGGGGAGGGCTTGAGCAAGTAAGTGTCCAGAGATAATTTGGGGAAGGATTGCTTTGGGGGTTGGAAGAATCCCAAGCATGTCACATTCAAAATGCCTGTCAGTCACCTGGGTGGAGACCCCAAATGGGCAATTAGTTGTTTAAGTCTAGAATTTGTATGGATTTGGGAGATTCGGTGTTCAGATGTTATTGAAAGCTACAGGACTGGAGAACAGGCTGATAGCAAGGAGCAGCCCTATACGGACCGGAGCACTGATGACAGTGTTCTGGAGACAGAGGGCTGGGGGTGGGGGGTCGGTGCTGGACTTTTCACCTGGCACCACGTCCTGGCCATGTCTGTGTTCTTCTGGGCGCTGGCAGGAGGCCCCACTTTTTTTGTTTTTTTAACATTTACTTATTTTTGAGAAAGAGTGCAAGTGGGGAGGGCCAGAGAGAGAGGGGGTTACAGAGGATCCAAAGCGGGCTGTGCACGGACACTGGTGCCCGATGCAGGGCTTGAACTCACGAACCCTGAGATCAGGACCTGAGCCGAAGTTGGATGCTCAACTGACTGAGCTCCCCAGGCGCCCCAGGAGGCCCCACTTTGGACAGGAGTTCAGGCTTCAGGCCCACAGGGTCACGTTGGGCATGTGAGGGAGCCAATACTCAGGCGAGACTGGGGCTGCAGCTTCCATCCCTGGGGACAGGAGCTTCGTTCCCCGCCGCCTGTCCCTTCGGAACTGCAGCCCCCCCCCTCCCCGGACGGGCTGTCCCTCCTTAACAGGCACCCTTTGTGGCGTTACAGGTGTGGAGATGAAGAAGATCACGGACGCCCACACCCCGTCCGGCCTGACCGTGAACCTGACCTTGTACTACATGCTCTCCTGCTCCCCAGCCCCGCTGCTCAGCCCCAGCCTGAGCCACAGGGAGCGCGACCAGATGGAGTCGACACTCAACTACGAAGATCACTGCTTCAGCGGCCACGCCACCATGCACGCTGAGAACCTGTGGCCGGGCCGGCTGTCGTCCGTCCAGCAGATCATGCAGCTCTCCGACCTGTGGAGGCTGACGCTACAGAAGCGGGGCTGCAAGGGGCTGGTGAAGGCGGGCGCCCCCGGCATTCTGCAGGGCATGGTGCTCAGCTTCGGGGGACTGCAGTTCACCGAGAACCACCTGCAGTTCCAGGCCGACCCCGACGTGCTGCACAACAGCTACGCCTTGCACGGCATCCGCTACAAGAACGACCACATCAACCTTGCCGTGCTCTTGGACCCCGAGGGCAAGCCGTACCTGCACGTGTCTGTGGAGGCCCGCGGCCAGCCCGTCAGGCTCTACGCCTGTAAGGCGGGCTGCCTGGAGGAGCCCGTGGAGCTGACCTCGGCACCCCAGGGCCACACCTTCCCGGTCATGGTGACGCAGCCCATCACGCCCCTGCTCTACATCTCCACCGACCTCACGCACCTGCAGGACCTGCGCCACACACTGCACCTCAAGGCCATCCTGGCCCACGACGAGCACATGGCCCAGCAGGACCCCGGGCTGCCCTTCCTCTTCTGGTTCAGCGTGGCCTCCCTCATCACCCTCTTCCACCTCTTCCTCTTCAAGCTCATCTACAACGAGTACTGCGGGCCTGGGGCCAAGCCCCTCTTCAGGAGTAAGGTACGAAGCCCCTGGGCCTCCAGAGCCTGAGGCCCCAGCCTGGTGTCCTGTCCCCAGCCCAGGACGGGGGAAGGCGTGGGCGGTGATGGGGCGTCCTCCTGAGCCACCACCCTCAGCCCGCAGCACAGGGAGGAGTCCGTGCATTCGCAGAGGATGTCGGAAAGTGACTTCCGAGAGGAGGCCATAGTGCGGGACAGCGGTGGGGCGCCTGGGTGGCTCGGTCGGTTAAGTGTCCGACTCTTGATTTCGGCTCAGGTCGTGATCTCCCGGTTCATGAGATTGAACCCTGCATCGGGCTCTGCGATGACAGCGCAGGGCCTGCTTGGGATTCTCTCTCTTTATCTCTGCCCCTCCCCTGCTTGGGCACTCTCTCCCTCTCTCTTTCAAAATAAACTTAAAATAATAATAATTGCAAGAAACCCCTAGATAGACCGGAAACAGCTATCCAAGCTGCAAGTGAGCCCCCTCCGCTCCCTCCTGAGGGCCTGCTCGCGCCACTCGCTGTGGGCCAGTGAAGGTGGCCATCTTGCCAGCACAAGGCATGATCTTTCCCATCCTGTTTCGTCAAATACCTTGGCCCCTAGGAAGCCATGACTTTGAACATGGTCACTGTGAGACTCTTATCAGGAACATGTCTTGGGGATCAGGCTCAGTCCCAGGGGAGGCCGCCGCCTCTGCCCCGTCACCCAGCCCTCCGTGCCTCATCGCTGCCAGGGCTCCCCGGGAGAGGGAACAGAAGGGAGCCCATTGTTGGCAATCACGGGAGAAAGCTCTTCAGAGGGAACTGGGCTCGCTTCCCCTCTCCTCCTCTCCCCTCCTCCCCCCTCTGTTGGACTAGTGAGTGCAGAGATAGAGAGCTCTAGGTCTGTGCTCTCAGCAGTTCGGGAGCCTGGGCCACCTCCGGAGAAATGGCCTCCTCACCTCCACAGGCAGCTTTGTGCCTTCTGGTTTCTAGTTTTGGGCCCGAGGCCAGGACTTGAGAAGAAGTAGCTCTTGGCCTGACGGAGTGGGAGAAGGGTGGGCAGCAGGTCTGAGCTCAGAGCTTGAAGAACAAATGGAAAGTCAGATGAAAGAGAAACCTGGCTGCGCTGGGGTAGAACAGGTGCTAAATTTGCACTGCGTGGGCCCAACGGCCTGTCCTCGGCTCCCCACCCGATCCAGGGGACAGGCCAACCCCCTTATTTCGGGGTGCTACCCCATGGCCCTCAGTTGACCCGCGCTCGAGCCAGGGTCCCTCCAGAGTAGAGCCCAGTGAACACTGTGTCGGCCCGAGGAGGTGTCTGGGCCACCAACCCCACGGTGGCTCCAGCACATCCCCGGCCACAGTGTGTCTGCAGAGCCAGACCAGAGCCCGGGCAGGGGGCCACCAGGGCCGTCTCCGTCACTTGCCCCGCGTGAGATTTCTGTAGCTTCCGCGGGGCGGGCGGTGAACAATAACGACTTGTTTTGTCAATTGCACAGGAAGATCCCAGTGTCTGAGTGAAGTCCGTCCGCACAGACACCCGGCACCGCAAGTCCTGCTGCAAGAACAAGGGATCCTCTGAAAGCACCCACCCTTTTGTGCCTTGTCAGGGACACCAGTGACGCAGAGCGCGTGTGGATGTTCAGGAGTCTGCGTCGGGGAGCGGGAGGGAGGGCCGGCGGGCTTTTTTGTAAGCTTTCGACTCAATAAAATGAACCTATATGGAAAATACTTGAAATTGAACTCACTCCTTCTGCTTTCCCCCCTTTCTTCTGTCCCAGGAAGCAGACCCTCTTTTAAAAAACTTGTCTAGGAAAAATTGTGTTCTACTCCTAACTTAATGTGTTCTTTCTTGACTGAATTTTTAATTTATTGTTGTTGAGATTTTGCCGGACGGCTTTTGCATCCACTCCAGACAGTGAATCTCCGCGGTGGTTTCCAACCTGCACTGCTCCCCTCACGGGGGGCGGGGCGGGGGGGGGGACATCTGGATGCCCCGCCCCCAGCCGCCCATGTAGCGGATGCAGGTCCCAGGTCCTCCCAGGTTTGCACATTGTCTCTTTCCTATCATGAGCCTGTGGAGATCTGTGCTTTTTGTACTTCGGGGCTTTAGGGGGAGGTATTTAACTTTCTAGTGATTGATGATTGTTGGGTTTTGAAATACCAAAGCTTTTTTTTTGTTCTGTTTTTAAATAAATCTCTTTCAAACTTCAGTGAGCGGTTTGTGTGTGGTTTGAAACCTCTGGAGACCTGTATCTTCCTCCATCACCAGACTTTCCGGTAGGATCAGAGGCAGACGGGCCGCCCCCCAGCCCTGTCGGATGACTGATTTCCCCCCACATCTAATGCTCTTGAGAAGATGCTTGTCCACCTGGGGGGTTTGTTCACCTGGTCGAGTGGGCGGGTTGAGGAGCATCAGCCTGGCCCCTTCCCTGCTGCGGTGCCTCACCCCTACCTGCCCTAAATAGCCTAGATTTGCCTGTCCTGGGTTTTGCTGGCCACAGGGCCGGGCAGCAGGAAAACACCCCGAGTGGTTGGCTGAAGCCAGGATCTGGTGACCTGGGTGGGGAGGGGAAGGGAGCTGGGCCCAGGACCAGAAAGGGACCGAGCTAGGCATGGCAGCCGCCTTGGGAGGCCGTGGTGGCCGTGGTGTCACGGGTGCTGCAGCCCGACTCCCCGGAAAGCCTAGTCTGCTCACCACCAGCGGGATGGCGCCCGCAACGGTGGGATGCAGGGGGCGGGGAGGGGAGGCAAACCCGCATCTCCACCTCTGCCATGAGTTGTGCTGACCCCACACACCTTTCCTTGTGCTCTGGGTAGCACGGAGCTCAGAAGTGCCTTCGTCCAGCCGTGGGTCACTGGCTGGTCTACCCGTTTAGTGAAGCAGGAATCTCGGGGGGTGCAGTTGTATGTGGTTTACAGTATGACGTGCCCTCCGGTTGTTGCGTTACAGTAGAAGTTGCTTGGGGCGCCTGGGGTGGGGCAGGGGGCTCGTCGGTTAGGTGGCCAACTGGCTCAGCTCATGGTCTCGTGGTTGGTGTTCGAGCCCCACATCGGGCTCTGTGCTGACAGCTCAGAGCCTGGAGCCTGCTTCAGATTCTGTGTCTCTCTCTCTGCTCCTCCCCACCCCTCTGAAAAATGAATAAACGTAAAAAAAAAAAAAATAATTGAAGCTGCTTGACAAGAACATACTTTATGATTCCACTCCTCTGTTCCGCTTGGAACTCTGCTTGTTAGAGGCTCATAAACAATAAAAACAAACCCATGTAACTGCTGTCCCGGAAATACTGACCAAACACCTAAAATTTAAACAAACTACTCCTTGTGAATTATAGTCCGCTTCGAGTGCTCACTGCCTGTCCGGTACTGGACGTCTGCGCCAGCCTCTGTGGGAGGAGGTTGAAATCCACTTGGAATCTCACCAAGCTGCTTCTCAGGGGTGGAAACCTGGAATGGGAAATTTAATGTCACGCTACCCAGCACTTCCCAACAGCTGAGGACGTGGTACGGAAATGCATTAGCTTCCTGGAAACTGACACGCACCATGGGCCCCTGATGATCTGCGAGCCCCTAGGAGCTTCCTAGGAGTCATCTGGACCCGGTCCCCATATCCGGAGGGCAGGGAGAGGCTGAAGAATGGGGTAGACCACTCCAGGGGAGTGAGGCGGCAGGTACCCTCCGAGGCTTGTCTTGGGCTGTACGAGTGGATCCCAGCACCGCCCGTCACACATTAAGACTTCTCCAGAGGACTTACCTGGTGGGTTCAGACACGCGCTCAGTCGCCATCACTGCACTGTGCCCGTAGAGCAGCCTCTGGGGGCAGGAAAAGCACTTGGATCCCACATCCAGGGACGGGAGGGTGGGGTGAGGAGCCTCTGATCGCCTGGGGCCAGCTTATGCCTCACTGGAGGTCACATCCTCTCCGGGACCCCCTGAGAGCCCCCTCCTCGCAGCCCACCTTTTACTCGACCCGGGGCAGGGGCTGCCACCCACAGATGCAAATTCCTGACTGCACCTGCTGGCATAGCTCCTCTCTGACCTTCAGGAAGCTGCTCGCGCCGGTGGGCATGTGCGTAGCCTCGAACCAGGTGAAGACTAATAACACTTCTTGGGGAGCCTTCTCCCATGGGAGACGGAGTCAGTGGACAAATGCTCCCCTCTGTCCCTGGGGACATTTCTGGGACGCATTCTGTGCAGCTCAGATGGCCCAGCAGGGCTTACGGCCGCGGGGTGCTTGCTAAACACCCTCCATTGGTTTTCCCTCCACTTAGTCTCCCGCCCCTGACCCTCTTGCCAAACAAGCCACCCGCACACAAGCTCCCGCCGCCGTCTACACCGCCAACCATGAGGCTCGCAGCTCCTCTGGAGTTTTTCCAAAAGGGAGTTGGACTCTCACAAGGCCATTGTTACGGGCTGGTGTACCCCCCACACTCCAAATTCACATGTTGAAATCCTACCCCCAGCCTGACGGTGTTTAGCGGGAGCCCTATGGAAGGTGACCAGTTGGTGAGGGCGGAACCTTCCAGAAAGGGATTACTGCCATAGGAAGAGAGACCCCAGAAAGCACCTCTCCTGTGTGAGAGGTGAGGGCGCAATGGGTGTGCTCACCCGAACCCATGTGCTGGTCCCCAATTTTGGGCTTCCAGCCCCCAGAACTGTGGGAAACACCTTCCTCTTGTTTCTTTTTTTAAATTTATTTACGATTAAAATTTTTTTTAATTTTAAAGTTTATTTATTTTGGGGGAGGGGCAGAGATAGGAGGAGAGAGAATCCCAAGCAGGATCTGTGCTTCAGAGCAGAGCCCGACGCGGGGCTTGAACCCGCCAACTGTGAGATCATGACCTGAGCCGAAAGCAAGAGTCGGACGCCTAACTGACTGAGCTCCCCGGGGTCCCCCTCCCTGTTGTTTCTAAGCCCCTCAGTGCCTGGCACCCTGTTATAAGAGCCTGATCGGACTAAGACAGGCATATTCTTGCAGTGGGGGAATGGAACTGTTAGGAGGTGAAAACAAACCAAGAAACAGATTCACAGGGTCTTAGATGAAGAAGAAACCTTACAGGCTTTCTTGCTCAGGAATCTGTAACCTGGCTGCATTGGATCCAAGGCCCCCAGAACGGCCAAATGTATGTACCTTTTTTTTTCTTTCATGAGAGGTCTGTAGCTTTCCTCAGATTTTTTTTTTTTTTTTAAAGACAGAGACAGAGAGACGGAGCATAAATGGGGAAGAGATAGAGAGAGGGAGACACAGGATCTGAAGCAGGCTCCGGGCTGTCAGCACAGAGCCCAACATGGGGCCCGGACTCGTGATCGGTTAGATCATAACCGGAGCCAAAGTCAGATGCCTAACCGACTGAGCCACCCAGGTGCCCCTGCTCCCCTCAGATTCTTTTTTTTTTTTTTTAATATTTTTATTTATTCCTAGGGGAGAGAGAGAGACAGCGTGAGCAGGGGAGGGTCAGAGAGAAAGGGAGATACAGACTCTGAAACAGGCTCCAGGCTCTGAGCTGGCAGTCAGCACAGAGCCCGACGCGGGGCTCGAACCCACGAACCGCGAGATCATGACCCAA